TGAATTCCTCATTTCGAGCTTCAAAGCTCCTGGTCATGTGTGGGAATGAATCTATGCCTGCACTTGATAGAGCATCCTGGGCAGTTCAGAGCATCCTGGGCAGTTCTTGTCGTGGTCGGGCCTGCATTTTCGCTCATTGCACATTTTAATATTTTGGTAAGCTTCTGGGGATTCGGTATTGCGCCGCTCCATCCATTGATAATATATGTGCAGTCATGTTCATTGCTCACTCTGTTAATAACTAATTTTTGGGGGATTTTGCATTGATTTTGCAGAAACTGATCTTCGCCAACTTCCATAGATGAAGTCCTTTTAGATTTGAATCCTTGGGTTTGGTGACTTGATTTGATGCGAATGTTTAAAATGTCTGTTGTCTGGTCCTAAAGTGCTCAAATAAATTTGTGAATATGAAACTAGTAACGTTTTGAATGTTCTTCCATGACTTAAATTAAGGTCTCATGCGTAATATGCTCCTCGCAGTTTGAATTTCCTGAGTTCCAAAGTGCTCAATAAATTCGGAAAATGTGAATTTTTGCACTAATCCACGAGTATACACGCACAAGATCCGTCTTCATCTTTCACTGGGATGTCAACTTGCGAAATTTCTTCATTCAAGCCAGGCTGAGCACCAAGGTAGTTTCGGCCTGGGTAACTCCGAGACTTCAATCGCCTTTGACGCTTGAATTCAGACTTTTTCTCGGTGAAATTTCGTTAGCGATTGTTTTTTGGCCCTGTCGTCCTTGCATTTAAGTTGGAGTTCAAGTTTCTCCCTGATTTGGAACTGGTCTTCGAAACATCTTCGACAAAGGCAAAACTTATAAGCCATTTGCTTCGTGTACCGTAAAGCCGAAGAGACATGATGACCCCCCCCCCCCAAAAAAAAAAAAAAAAGACAGTGAAACCTTCTTTGGGGGCTATCTGGAGGATGTGATGACTTCCTCGCAAATCGGCTCATATATCATGACTACGAGGACTTCCCTTTTTTCCGAGTGGGAGAGGGGGCGGAGGCGGAAAGGAGGCCTCTGAACAGGTCTCAGGGGACGTCCGCTCAAGTCAAATAAATGCTGGGAACTTGGCCAATAGGGGTCGGTGAGTGTGGAGCTGTATTCGGGTTTCCCATTTCTCGCCTAGACCCCCTAGAGAGACAGAGCCTGGCCAACTCCAGGCCCTATTTTTAACGAATCTGATTGGCTGCCGCGCCTGGGCGCCATTCTGATTCCAGGAGATCGACATCGGCTATATGGGAAGGGTCAATCCCTTGGGCTTTCTTGGTGATTATGCCCTGCTGCATGGCTGCTGTAAGTTCCAACAGGAATGAGACTAGATATAGAGTGTCCCGCTTCGTATCAAAGAGAAATTCACGGGCCCTTCGGACTGCTAAGGTGAAATTAATGAACTGGACACCGACAGCAAATTCATGTCTCTGTGATGTCAGTTGTCTGGAAGCTTTCCGGACAACTCCAGATTCCCCCAGAAATACCTAAGAAAAAAGCAAAGGTGTGTGGGAAAGCCCGGCATTCCATGCTCCTTCCATTTGAATCGATATGCTCATACTTTGGGAGAAATCCCGAAACACGTGGAAGGGAAGGAGACGGTCTCCAACCAACCTGCGGTTTAAGTGGACACCGATCGCGCGAAAGCGTTCATCCACTCTGGGAACCGACGGCCTCCTCAGCGACCTCCCTTTTTACTCGTCGCTTGTAATTTTCCTGCTGATGGGGTTTGAACACCTCCGAAAATTTATTCCTTATTTCATTTTCTTTTAATCATCTTTAACAAAGCCACTTTCGGAGTGGCTTTCAAGTGCTTGGGCAGCAAAAATAATATTCCACGATTCAAAGGGGACGAATATTTGATTGGTTTCAGCAGCGATTTTTCCTATTATAGAATTGAGCGTGAGCAGAAAATTCATTCCTTGCGGGGATTAGAAACCATTTCTTAACGTGCATTTTTTGGCAGATTGTAATGGACCACATAGAGTGTATTTCGTGAGGCCTTTTCATGCCAGGAATTCGGTTTTTGATTGTCAGGTGCAATGTGCAGATCCCAATGTTAATAGAGCGATCTCCGTGTGGACATTTTTTTCCGCAAATTGAACTTCCGTTAATTCTCAGCCAACTTTCACAAAAACCTTTTTTTTTCATAGAATAAAATTAGTAATGATTGAGATAATATAAATTCTGCCTGTATTTCTAGATTGCGATCTAGCTTTAGGAACGTCCAAATGCGAAATTATGTGATTTCAGAGTTAACATGCACACCATGAATATTTTCCATGGGATGAACGGATCCAATGACTTCTGTGAATAAGTGACTTCTGTGATGAAACAAACAAGTTGTTCAGAATGGAAATGATATCTCTTTATTGCTTCGAAACAGAAAATCGAAATGTCCTCTAGCTAGGAATCTAGGCGAGCAAGGAATCGACGATTGCCTTTTTTTTCAAAGGCTCCATATTTCGTTCTGGTGGACTTCCAAGTGCAATGCACCCCACGATTTAAGCGACTCGGATTGCATCCGGTTTTTTTTTTTGTGTGACCACAAAGTCGGTTCAATCAAGTCTGCACTTCGTTTTGCAGGAACATCTGAGTTACCGTGCATGTGAGCGATGGCGCAATAAGTGAACCAGATCTTCGGCGCATCTGGTTTACTGATCATCGCAGAAATTATTCACTGCATCGAGGCATGGCTAACGCACAAAACACAGTTAATCAGAAACTTCAGAGACACAAATGAGAAAGTGTAATAGTGAAAAGTGACGTGTAACGCAGTGCTTCCCAACTTCCCAGTGTCTTCACTGCTTGAAATGAAGACCGCGCACAGCTGAAACGGAGCAATATTGGCATCTGTGGGAGATTGGTTGATGGAGGATCGTGTGATCGGAATAAAAACTCATGATTTGCTTGGAATTGAATGCCCTGACGAGAGAATGAAACAATTTGAGGATGCTGAGGTTTAAATCCGTGTATGAGATGCACAAAAGTTTACTTTTTTTTCGTCATCGATTCAGGCGAGAGAGAAACACCATTGTTGAACGCGGTCTCTGGGGCACCCCCGGTTCGGAGACTTGTGAGGAAAAGAAACGAAGGTGTGTGAAAGCCCGGATTTTCTCGCTCGTTCCGCTTATGACTTTGAATCGATGGGTGGGAGGACCTTGAAACATGCGGCTCTGCACCGAGTCGGCTGCCGTGTTCACGATCTTCTTTCTCGTAAAAATCGTTTTACGTTTCGCTGCTGCCATTTGAGCTCTAATAAAATACTGTTTCCACTATTTATGAAGTTCATGTTGTTTTGTCCTACATGATGATATTTAGTTGCGGGGGGGGGGGGTTCTCGATTTCCTAAAGCGATTTATCTGATACGAGAATCGATGAAATGGTGAGAGCCTTTCCATGCGAAGATTGGTTCTTTAGAATTTGTCTGGGTGCCCCATGGTCCTTCCCATACTTTTTTCCTTCTAAAAATCTTCAAATTCAATTTTCAACGACAAGCAAGGCAGTCTGAAATAAAAAAGAGTATTCTAAGATTGCTCAGCTGACTCGTGAGCACCATTGCAACTTCGTAACCTTGAGTCGCTTAAGGAGAAAAAAAAGCATTGAAATGCTTCCCGCCAGCAGAGACGCTGCGGGGTTCCAAAAACATTATCTGAAGCGTTGGATCAAAAAATGGGCCCCTTGAAAATTCAGGGAAAACAGAAAACCTGAATTCTGGTGCCCTGTTACTAAGCCCTGGTGAAAACATTTAGTAATGGTTTTAACCAGGAAATGAAACCTAAACGGATTTTAATATTGTACCAGTCCTTATCCTTAACGCTATTCGAAAGTCTGATGGACTTATTTTAGGGCTCATCAGTTGCATTCATGACAACAGCCTTGCTTCAATAATTTCGCATTGAATTGAAAATCAGTTGAATTCCATTGACAAGTATTGGAATAGGAGTTATAGGCGTGTTCCAGGAATACAAAGTATATATTTTTTCGTCCACCAAGTAAGTACTCCGTTTTCGTAGGTGAAGAAACACTTCAAAAGATGGGGAACATTTCACCGTAAGCTTTCAATTCCTTGAAATCGAACTGATCAACTGCTCATAGTCTTCATTGACGCCATGGAGACCCCGTCGGAGGCAGGCATGGTCCGAGTCAGACGAGCGAGGAATCCTGGAGTTCCACTTGGTTGCGGGGCAACGCCGGTTTCCCGAGTAGCGTGCGTGAGGGAGAAGGATTAACAGGTGCGCGATATCCCTGACTTTCTCGCTCATTCCAAATATAATCTGCAATCGATATGCGGAGGGAGAGCTCTGAAACCGCGCGGCAGAGGTGGTGACATTCTCCAACCGAGCTGTGGTTTATGGTGGACGCGGATCGCAGGAAGGCGTTCGTTCCGGGAACCGACGGCCTCCTCAGTGACGATCCTTTCACTCGAGTGAACCGCTTGCAATGTTTCTTCTGGGCTTAAGGCCCGTCTGAAAGCCTTTTTGTAAATTTCCTCCTGGTTTCATTTTTCTTATTCATCCTTAGCAAAGTCGGGTTCGCTCTTTCTTCACTACCCTATCTTCGTTGCAGTTTCAAGACGCTTCGATGACAACAAAGATATTCCCAAATTCACGATCCTCTCTCTTCAGTGAATCGCTATACGTTTCATTGCTGGTTTTGTCGCAACTATGAATGACTTTTATAATCACAACGATACTCATGATTTTGTTTTGGCCGAACAGACGAGAGGGTCTTTATTGCTTACTTACATTGAATCTCAACTACTTTGTTGCGGAGTTCCACAATATTTTTTGTTCTTCGTCTTCCATTGGAAATGTTCCCTTTCAATTAAGGCAGTCTGCCTTTTGGAAGATTCTTGGATTCATCAATTGCTTCCTAATACTCTTTTGTTAGAAGCTTCAGCCATAACTAATAACATAAGTTATTGGAAACTGTTCACCAGGGGTGGACAAGTTTATGCAGGTCCATCTATGGATTACACAATGGAAAAATAATTTTTGAAAGTTAAATCGCTTGTTTCTTTCTTGTTATAGATAGTTTGAAGCACGTGGAGCAAGAAAGAGGAAGATTTGCAAGAATCCCACATCGCTTGGGGTCTTGTTGATTCCGAGGTGAGTTTCGAGACTAAACATTCAAACTACTCCGTCCTGGTCATGGTAAACGTGAGTTAAAGTCCCTAGGAGTATGGCTGATCTTCCCATATATTTTTGACATGCATCATGGCGATTGAAGGCAAAAATGATCTATTTTAATTTGTATGATGAGCACACCTACTGATCATCGAGGCAATTAGACGCCGTAGATGCCGGACCAGATATGACTGGATTCAGGATTACCAGAAATGGAATGAGGAAACCGCGTCACTTAGACGAAATGAAGATCGAATGGGGAAGATGAAAATCAGATTGATTTGTGATTTAATGAAAATTCAGATATTGCCAATGAAAAGGGTGTTATAAGAGGTGAACTAGATACTCCATATTAAATCGGATAATGAATGAGCTAAGAATGATTGCTTGTTTCAGATTAACTCTACCATGAACGCCTCTTATGTACTAAATCGGCCGTGTAAATGGCGTGATGATGACAGCTGCGTGATGATGGGTTTCCAACGAAGGGGGGGGGGGGGGACGTACGATGGAGGGAGAGAGATCCACCGAGAATCTAATCTAAAAGTATGCAAGATATATCTTGAGGTAGCAGCGTAACATCAATGATAGACGGAAGCCAGATGAGGATTCATCCTGCGTCCTAAAAGATGAAGCCAGGAGGCGGTGCCTCCACCATGATTATGGAAAATGGTGCCTTTTCGTCTTGCCCCATCCAAGTGAAACCCTAGATATTGCTGAAACAGACGGTGTACCCCCATGAATCGTTATAGCTACACAAATGCACTTAAATCTATGCAATCCTACTGTTGCAGAACCGTGAAGTTCACCCTGAGAGACCCTTACGACCCAAAACCCACAAAACCTTGAGACAGATGGTCCTCGATGAGGCCAGCTGAGGCAGTCGCGATCGGCTTACTCGTGGGAATCACTTTTATTTTGGTGCAGGGCTATGAGCTTCTGGGAAAGACATTTCATTTACGACTGATTAATTTGACATTTTTCTTGTCATTCTATTGATACATGATGACTGAAGAAACAAGAAGCAAGATCTTTTAATTCTTCAATGCCCACTTTCGGTGCAGTCTTACAGTGTTCTAGCATTCGAATTGGTATATTTTAGGAGTATCTTTAACAATTTTTTTCCACTATGGAATTTGCTGAAGGAAAAACTTTTTCATTCAATGCATGAATCTGATGCCATTTTCCATTATGTGATTCAAGAATGGACAGCAGGCTTCGTTGTACGAATGAAGAAAATATCAGAATTTGATTGATTGAAGGCAATTCCGTTTTCCTGTCTTGTCCGAACACTCTTGATCTTCATTACTAGTTCCAATCGTTTGCCAGGCGTTTATTCCGATTCAGGCGAAAGATATACACCAGGAAACTCTTGGTTACTGGGGAAACCTGGCCTTGGCAAATATTTTGAAAATAAAAAGCAAATGTGGGTGAGAGCCCGGATTTTCTCGCTCATTCCACTTATAACTTCAAATCAATATTCTGGTTCGGTGGAAACAAAAGACTTAAAATTGGTTTCTTGGCAACGCTAATCTTGTCCTACTGCTATTTGCGATCATTCAATTCCTCAGTCGATGGGTTCTTCGGTCACGCTTATTTTCTCTCAAGTGAAGCACTCTACATTGTCCCAACAGATATTTCATCCCGATATCATGATGTAATTTATGGCCAATATCCAGAAACTCACTGTGTCCAATGGCACTCGACTTCAGAGCAGATACTTACCTCCGTCCAGGTAAGTCGTGGACTCAATGGTATTCCTAGCCATGCCTGCCCTGGATTGGCATTGGCTGCCAAAAAAAAGGCGAGCAGCTTGGGGAGGGGTCGCAGTGTGGAGAGAGACCATCCGTGAATCTAATCTGAAAATTTGGCGAGAAATGTTGGGGGGAGGGGGGCATTCCCTGCGTCCTAAACTGAAGGTAGGAAGTCATGCCAGCTTTGCGATGATCGGAAATGGTGCTGATTCGTCATTAAAGCTCTTGCCTAGCAACACCCCGTGATCAATGCGTAATCCTTGATGTTGTTCATGAAACAGACTGTGAATTCTCATTAATTGGTTTGCTTTGGAAATGCATTGTACAACGCTTTAGTTGGAAAACCATGAAGCAGGTGAATTATTCCGAAATTGCCACGTGGCTATGATGAATACTGGGGCCTTCGATATTTCAAGAAAGGGCGATGGCCAACACCGTCACGGTGTTCACGCTCTCGGGCCTGTTCTGGATTGGATCAGCATTGGAACCTGTGGCGTATTGGGAGTTACACCCTGGAGAACGTTACGGACTCGTATCAAAGGAGGTCTCCGCTGATTTTAAGGAATGTGAGAACATATGCGCCAAGGACGATCCATCTCTGCCCTGCAAAGCCTTCAACTACAGGGAGTCGGATGGCAACTGTCAGCTGGTGTACAAGGACGGGGTCCGGCTCCTGCCAGCCGACGACTTCCAGGCGTTTGTCAAATGTGAGTTGCGGGCAAGTAGGGAGATTTCATGATGAATTACCGCGATATCACCGCAAAACCCTCACAACCGAGTGGTTTTCTTAGACGTTCCATGCAATATGTTTAAAAGATCCAGTGATGGACTGGTCCCCAATGATAGGCCTCATCACATGAAAATTCCATTAGCTAACTTTCCATAACACGCCTAACCCTGTTGTGACCTTGGCTAGCAGCATTCGAGCACATACACACTTCAGAGGAATTTTCCTGCTATATGGCCCATCACTGAGTATCCGCCCTTAACAGGCCCATCACTGGGTCTTCTACCCTACCTGACATTTTCCCCCAGAGTATGGATATTCAGTTTAATGTGTTTACGGTGTGATATACTTGGAAACGGAATGTTCCAAACAAATGATTCGGTTCCCTCAGCAAGAAAACATATCCATTTAATCTCCTCAGGGTGATATTTACCGCAGGGAACAGGGGAATTAAATGTTATTTGGCATATTTGGCACTAAAGAGAAATGCTGCTTCCATCTTGCATCAATTCAGCTCCATTTACTCCTTCATTTTTTCATTGTCTGCCTCAATTTCGATAATAATCTCTCTTTCACTTTCTTTCGCATTGATTCAGTTTCCTGCCTTGAGGACGACTCGAGAATGAGAAGCAGACTCTTTCAGGAACGTCGTCGTGAGAAATCAAGGCTCGGAGTAAAGGATGGGAAACTTGAATCGCTGAAGAGGTTCCACGGACTGATGCGCAATGCACAGGGCACCATGTTCATGAGGTGCACTGAATGTCAGGTTCACCACGTTCTCGAAGGAGAAAGAACCTGTCCTTTGCCCAGCAAGAGGTGAGAGAGCATCAGGGCTAGGAAGCGTTGGAATATCTCAATTGCAATGATGAGTAACGTTTCCACTCGTTTTTTTGGGATAATGAATTCACTCGTCATTTTCATGTCCATATTTTTTTCATGGCTTGCTGAAAATCATTGGTTAAACATGGAAGTTTAAAAACCATCCCTAATTGAATTTGTTCAAGTCTCATGTCTGTAATAATTTAAGACGATAAATTGTTTTTCACCCTGGAAGTGAAAGTATTGAAAATTAGGTCATCAGCCGGAAGGAAACGATTGGAAAGGAAACTCTACCGTATATGGTAGGATATTTGGATTAATACATACACTTCAAGAGAGTTGAATCATTCATTGGTCAGTAGCCTCGCGAGAACAATGAACATGTGCGAACATTATTGGACATTTTAAATCTGCAATTAATTTAAATCTACCTTAGTTTAATAAATGGTTTTCGTTGAACAGTAAAGTGGTTAACTTGTAAGGTACTTATTTTTCTGCACATTTCTCAAAGACACGAAGTCTTTATTATATATTATTTTGCTTCACATTTGCCTATTTGCCTTGTATCCAATGCATTCATTGAAAACTAGAACTATCAGGAGAAAGCGCGGAGCTACGACAGAATTAGGCAATGGAGGAGGAAGTGGAGGAAAATCTGCAAATGGATCAAAAGGGGCTGCAGGAACCACAGCTGGGCCACCAGCAGCGAGCAACAAAGGTCGACAAACAAGCGGTACCACTGGAGGAACGAGAAGCACCACACGGACAACATCCGGAGGCCGCACAGGAGGCACAACAAAGAGCACAACAGGAAGCAGTTCAGGAAGCATCAAAGGAGGAGCAACAAGAGCCACTACACGAGGAACAACAAGAGCCACTACACGAGGTACAACAAAATTCACTACAGGAAGACCCTCAGAAGCCATCACAGAAATACCAACCCAGAGCACCACCAGAATATCAACAACGGAAGACCCCGATCTTGATGAAGAATCGGAATTCGGAGGTGGAGATGGATGGTGGTACTAGCGAATACGTTTTTTTGAAAGTTTTCAGGCGATGCTTCGCCGGTAGAACTGGGAGGATCTTCTGGAAGAGGAACACTTGGCTGCCTCCTTTTCCTGTTTCTCGCCTTTGCAACAAAAATGCTTCAAAATGTTCTTTTCTTGACGTGAATGGCATTGTTTGCTTCAGAAAACTCTAGAGGTTTCTCCTAAATATGTATTTTCCTGGCTGCACCATGGTTCCTGTATTTGAATTCTCTATGTGATAGGATCGCTTTCCCCAAGATGGGTATCATTCGGACCGCCTTTGGATGACCACCACACAAAATGTTTAATTACGCATTGGGAGACGTGACCTTACGATTCAATCTCATCTCAAATAACCTCTTCTGCACACGGTCAAATGCGAAAACGAATCGGCACCTGCACTTCATACTCTTCGACCATGTCAGTGTTTGTTCAAGTCACAATTGGGACATGCACTTTCTCTTGCTACTCACTTTGCGTTTTTGGGGACTGAATTCTTCTGCACTGGTTCATTCCATAAAAAGTTATTCAATGTAATACGCATCAGCCACTTTCATTTCCATACAATTTGGGGAACGAGTATTTTTCTTCGATTTCCAAACGAATAAGTGATACCTTATTTTCAGAAACAGGGTGTTCCGAAAGTTTCTGACTCACTAAAATAAAGATGAGCGGGAATATGTATTGATTTTCATTCAACATCATCGAAAATACGCTAGATGTCAACTCCTGCATTGAAACCTGATATGACTTTCGCGGACCTGCTAAAACCTTGGAAGAGCTTCCTCAAGTTCGTTAGATTCTTAGATTCCTCATTTGCTTGAAAACACTATTTTTCAAGGAGCATATACCATATCTAATATCATAAAGTATCGAACACCGGTGACCTGTGTGAACAAGTTCACGTCGATTTGTCCATAATTAACACAATGCGAAATACGTAATAAATATTCCTTTTCGCTTGTTCTTTTCCTGTTGTAGATTGAGTTTTGAAGCGAGAGGGAAGATTTGCTGGAAGCCAGCATCGCGTCGGGTCGTGTTGATCCCGAGGTGAGTCTCGACACGGAAAAGTTTCATGCGCAATTTCCCAGGCCAGGGAAACAATCATTGAGTTGAAGCTCTAATGAGTGCGGTTGACTTTCCCCGTCATGACGCTTGAAGAGGGGAACGGGCTGTTAAACTAGTGGAATGAACCCACTTGTCATGCATCGAAGCCGTAGAATCCGAGATGATAAATCAAGTCAGGATTGGATTTAACGTCATTTAAAGACAATGGAAAGGGCAAGGAAAGCAAAATAGGAAAATGACTCGCATCACTAGTGTAGATGGAACCTGATGATCGACCGGAGGAGATCCCGGAAGAGATAAACATCATCCAAATTTTCTTTTCTTCGCTTGTAACCAGATAATGACCTTGAAATGACCTCATGCCAGAGAAACTAGACATTCCATATTAAATTGGATAATGCATTTGCAAATATATACGGCTCATTTCAGTCTAATTATTTCAGGAACGCGTCATCTAGACAGGAATTGGCCGTGTAAATGGATAACAGCGGCGAACCGATGGGGTCGGGGGTGGGGGGATGGGAGAGATTTCTTGGGAATCTCGCCTGAAAGGACGAAGAACTTAGGACAATGGCGACATCAAGGGAGGATGAATCGTTATTGCTGGGCAAATTCACATGAATCGATACGATGCTATGGTTGGAGATCCTTGGAGTTGATAATACTTTCAGGAACCCTTGAAGACCCAAAAGCCCCCAAAAATCCTGATACATCTGGTCTTCGATGAGCCATGCTCAGATAGACACTATCGTATTACTCGTGTGGATCACTTATATTTGGATGCAGGGTTATGAGCTTCTCTGAAAGATATTGCATTTGCGATTTACTCATTCGATACCTCTCGTGCCATTCTATATTATGCCTGAAGAAGCAAAAATAGATTGTCTCCTTCTACAATGCCCAGTTTCGGTGCAAACTTACGGTTCACCATCAGTAACAGTGACATTCTAGCATTTGGATTGTTATATTTCGGGAGATGCTTTACCAATTCTTTCCACTATTTCCACTAGTTTTGGCTAAAATTTTGAAAATAAGAAACAAATCTGGGTGAGTGACCGGATTTCCTCGCTCGTTCCGCATATATCTTCGAATCGATATATTGGTTCGGTGGGAGAACTCTGTTTGAAGCAAGCAGCACGATGTTTGAGGAAGATTGCAGATGATCCCTGTCCGACAGTGACTGTGTTCTTCCCATGAAACATCACGTGACGGATCAGTAACATTCCCGTCTTACTTCATCAGTCTCACGTTTTGATGCATTGTGCAGACGCACACACAATGGGTACCACTCTCTCTACCTAAGACATGGTACTTCAGAAAAAGTTCGGCGAATTTGGTCGAAGTCTGGGAATGAGACTTCCCTCATCCATCTGTGAACGCCGCCAGACGAGGATTGGACTCACTGGCATTCGACATAATGAGGCCGCGACGAGGAGAAAATAACTTGCTAGACGGGTTATCCTTTCCTGGGGATGCGAAATATTAAACAGTTGTCATACCGGTTTACTTCCTGTCATCGGGTAATGTGACATTCAGAAGGAATTTTCTCAGGCGTCAGACACTGCAATTACTGAAATCGATAGTGCAGATCGAACAACGTGGAGGGAACGAAGTCATTGGTGTATGCAAAACAAATGCGAATTTTAAACGCTTAAACCGACCAAGAAGACATTACCTGTGGTATCTAGGCATTGATTCGCGGTCATGCTTCCTCAGAGGACTTCTTTGGTTTGTTCTTAGGAAGTAGTTTCACACCCTGAGGCATTACAAGGGAAAGAACATAAGGAGCAATTTTGGTTCAGAATTCTTCAGTTCCAATGCAACGTGGAGCAATGCAATTCCAATGCAAATGCAATATCGAAAAAGGTGGATTCAAGGCGCCGAAATGTGGTCGTTTGTTTTCTTAAAACAAAGGTTGTATTATCTTCAAATTGATCTCATCTACTTCTCAAGCTCATCAGTGACGTTGCATAGACCACGTTGGCAGCAGCCATAGCCCGAATCCGACGAGAAAGGTACCCGAGCGTTGCATTTGGTTGCAGGGCAACGAGAGCATGCGAGCGGAAAAAAAGTCAACGAAGAGTCTGGATTTTCTCGCTCGTTCAGCTTTATGGACTTCAATCGAATGTGGGTGAGGGCCCGGATCTTCTCGCTCGTTCCGCTTATAGCTTTGAATCGATATATTGGTTCGGTGGGAGAATTCCGCAACACGCTGCGTTGGACGAGGAAGGATCTTAGAGTCATGATCGTGTTACTCATGTGAACTGCTGTTGGTGTCGCTGTTGGGATTTAAGCACATACGAAGGACTTGTAATTAATTATTTAATGTTTTAAAGTTCATTAGTCATTCTACCGTGTGAGCGGGTGGGACCTACACTCATGGGAAATGTATCGTCCAGAGCGTCCGTGGGAGAGCTCAAACTTTGTTGGGGCACATAGGTACAAATTTCCGCGTCATTTTGGGAGACATCTTTCTGCGGCATTGCCGCTGTAACTGTTGGGAATGCGTCATGAACAGCATCTTTGAATTTTTCAATTGATGGCTCTTAGGCACTTTTTTCACTTTAGTGAAGCGCTTTTACATTGTCCCAACATATATTTAACGCCGATATTTCCTATGTAATTATTGGCCACTGTCAAAATGATCCGTGTGCGCTATGGCATTCCATACCAGAGTAGATACATGGCTCCGCCTCGGTATGCACTAGAATTAATGGTTCTCTTAATTAATTAATGGATATCTCTTACCAAGCTTCATTGATTTCATTATTTTCACTAATGGACAAAACTAAGAAAACTTTGATTTCCTATCATATTGACAAAAGACTACTCTCATATTTGAATTTTGTAAGAAGTCCGTTGTCGTGTTCATCCGCAGATATCTCGGGACGTATTCTGATGAGAGTGTTCGGGAGGGTCATTTGTGGGTGGTTTTGCTTTTAAGGATTTTGGATACATTGTCTGAAGGAACCCCAGTAGGCATGAAAACCATTAAACTATTCCTAGAACCCATAAGCACTTGTCTATATATTTTGCGGAAAAAATTTTTTCAAGCATTTTGGTTTACATGAATTGAATAATCTGACAGGGCGATGGCCAACACATTAACGGTGTTCACGCTCTCGTGCCTGTTCTGGATTGGATCAGCTTCGGAACCTGTGGTGTATTGGGAGTTACACCCCGGGGAACGTTACGAACTTGTTTCAAAGGAGATCTCCGCTGACTTTGAGAAATGTGAGAACATATGCGCCAAGGACGATCCATCTCTGCCGTGTAAAGCCTTCAACTACAGGGAGTCGGATGGCACCTGTCAGCTGGTGTACAAGGACGGGGTCAAGCTCGTCCCAGCCGACGACTTCCAAGCGTTTGTCAAATGTGAGTTGCGCTCAAGGGGGGGTTTCATGGTGATTTACTGCACAAGATAAGAAGAAACTCTCGCCGCCAAGTCGTTTTCTGAAACGTTCCTACCAGTCCCCGGATTTTTTCCCCTCCAGATAATGGATATTCAATTTAATCTGTTTTCGCTCTGAAATATCCAGTATACACTACCTGAAAAGATAATATAAAGAAATTGGTTCGTAATGCAAGAAAATATTCATTTCATCCGCTTGGGTGATGATGGCTAGAGAGAAAAAGTGAATCATAAGGAATTGAGTATGACTGTTACTGGCGTGATATAACAGTCTCACGTATACCCAGCAAATAATAAGGGGGAATGTAGGGTGTGGGTTGCTTGAAAAATGGGTGCGCATGGATTTGGAGGCACATATTCACCAGAGCGTGTTCATTACCCTTCCTTCTTAGGAAGGGTAATGAACACTCTTTGCTGGCTCTCAAAATACTCTTAAGAGTGAGCAAGGTCTCCTTTGCTGTCAGGATGGCGCATATGAGCACCGTTGGGGAATGCATTATTCCTTTCAACTGAAAGTCTGGACTCATTTTCATCCCTGTCGGAGGGATGACCCCTCTTGATAATGTCACCCCAGGAGGTGCTCCGGCTAAAAAGCAAAAACTAAACAGGAATGGATTGAGGTTTTTAGGAGCCCCTTTGCAGGACTCGCACCAACTTTCGCCCAATCTGACGAAGGAGGGGTGGTAACCAAAGATGTAATCTTTTCTCCTTACCTCGTTTTGCATCATATCTCGACGCTTGGTTTAACAGAATTTACCAATGACCTGCGATCAGTCCGCCTATTCAGTAATCTGATGAGGAAGTTATCATACTGTCCTCTCGCATAAATTTTCGCGATGCGGACGGATATTCATATAGAGGTAAGGTTGCCATTACCGATGTAAGATAACATTGGCCAACCCAGTGGTCGCTCGTAAAGAAACTATGCCACGCCACTGGGAATCCTTAAATAGAGTGCCTGGTTTTTTCCCATGTTTACAGCAAAGTTTAATGCTTTGGAATCACACGGCATTATTATTATCTGAATTTGAAGGCCAACACAGGGAGAGCTCTGACAATACTGGCCCTAAAGAAGGAAGAAGAGGGATTCACGCTTTAAGAAAAACCCACAGCGCGAGCCACGAACAATTTAGGAAGCAGATATTAACGGGAAGCTATTTCTCTGGACCTTCTACATTAGCGTCTCTGTCTTGATAAGGAGGGCGGATACTAGGTACCCAGTGGAACAAAATGAGAGATGAGAGATGACAAATAATGGACTATTACATACAGACGTTTATACTGTACATTCTAAAGTACATTTGGAACATAAATAGGTCGGTTGAAAGCTGAATGGTGGTATCAGAAACGATTCAGCTATACATCATTAGACGTTTAATTATATTCGATTAGAGAATTATAAAACTAGCATGATGTGTGTTCTTCGTTTGGGAAAGACTGCGTCACTCATAACGGGTGAGAATGAACCACCAAATGGTGCGTATGGAATACTAGAGGTCAGAATGGAGGGCGCCCTTAAATGGAATTCCCTAGGGAATGTCGATATCGCCTAAGGCCAACGCCGAAGGGGATGTGCTGCCTATAAAAAAAAAGTTATATTGAAAAGACCGTGCGGCATTTGCTCCAGAGTGTGGCCTTGCAACCACCAAGAGCGCTGGATACCACAGTGAGCATTCTCACCCTAGATTCATAGTGATCATGCTCACCCCTAGGGTGGCATGATCCAGTGACAAAGCATGCACACATTTCAAGGTGTGGGATCTCATCTTTATTATTTGTTGTGTATTACAACTTTGAAATTTAAAAAACCATTCGCCGGATTTACCGCAGAGAGGTGAGATTCATGCGCCTGAATGGTTACAGCGAGGGGACTCATAGCTCTCGCTGATATCCCCACTTCCGCCTAAGTTCATTTGATGGATAAGGAGGTACATTTGGCAGTCCTGGGATATTATTTCCATATTGCAGCATTTACTTCTTCAATTTTAACTATCGGCATCGATTTGGTAATAGACTTCTTTTTCGTTTTCTTCAAAATGGTTTAGTTTCCTGCCTTGAGGAGGACTCGAAAATGGAAAAGAGATTCCTCCATGAGCAGCGTCGTGAAAAATCAAGTCTCAGAATGCACAAAGGGGAAATTGAATCTCTGAAGAGGTTCCACGGACGGATACGCCGTGTACAAGTCACCAGGTTCATGAAGTGCACAAAGTGTCAAGTTCACGACGTTCTCGAAGGGGAAATAACCTGTCCTTTGCCCAGCAAGAGGTGAGAAGGCGTCAAGAAAATATAATATGTTTCAGACTGTTAGCGATTTGGATATACAGTGCATGCTGATAGTTATACTGTAGAAAGCTGAATTACGTATTCCATGCTGACAAAGTCGCGCGAAACACGCAGTTCTTTCAACCGGTATGCAATGCAATGAGGAGTTTTCCTACGATTTCAGGGGGTTAAAGGACTTCCAATGGTTAGCAACCTTGCGAGAACAGTGAACAGGTGCGATCATTATTGGACATTTAAAATCTGTATTTAACTTGAATTTACCTTATTTTAAGAAATGGTTTTCGTTGAATAGTGAGATGGTTAACTCATCAGTCATATTTTGCATCATATGGCTCAAAGACATACAGCTTTTATTTTTATATTATTTTGCCTCACATTTGCCTATTTGCCTTGTCTAATACACTCAATGAATTCTCGAAAAATCAGGAGAAGACGAGGCGCAACGACAAAATTAGGCAATGGAGGAGGAAGTGGAGGAAAATCTACAAGTGGATCACAAGGGGCTGCAGGAACTACGTCTCGGAACCCAACAGCGGTCACCACAGGTCAACCAACAAACGGCACCTTAGGAGGAGCAACTGAAGAAACCCCAAGACCACCTGCAGGTAACAAATCAGGAAGCATCAAGGGAGGTACAACGAAAGGCACCACACGAGGAACAACGAGAGGCACCACACGACGAACAACGAGAGGCACCACACGAGGAACAACGAGAGGCACCACACGACGAACAACGAGAGGCACCACACGAGGAACAACGAGGAGCACCACACGAGGAACAACGAGAGGCACCACACAACGAACAACGACAGGCGCTACAACAAGACCTTCAGGAGCCACCACAGGAAAACAAGCAGAAGCCATCAAAAGCACAACACCGAAACAACTTGATGAAATTGAGGACAACGCTGGGGCCGGATCTGGGACCCTGTTGGAAATGGTAGCTCGACTTTTGGGTATAGAATCGATTCGAACATCCTGAAGGGCAACACCTGCACGCCTACTCTTGTTTCTCGTTTTTGGAGAAAAAATGTTTCAAAATGTTCTTTTCTTGGCGTGTATGGGATTGCTTGCTTGAGAAAATTCCACACATTGGTTTCTCCAAAATATGCATTATCCTGGGTGCTCGTTGAGTCCTGTCCTTGAATTATGTATGGAATAGAGATGTTTCCCCTCAAGATGGGTATCATTTGGACCGTCTTTGTATCACTCTTCACAAAATGTTCTATTACTCACTGGAGGACCTGACCTTGCGACTTATTCTCATCTAAGTAAAACTTTCGTGCACTTTGTCAAAGGTGGATCAACGCATGCACTTTCTACTCTTCGAACTTGTCAGAGTTTGTCTAAGGCACAAAACGGGACATGCATTTTCACTTGCTAGTCATTATTATCTTTTGGGAATGGGGAATTTCTTCATGGGTTCATTCCATAAAAAGATCTACAATGTCGTCCGCGTGAACTACTTTGATTTCCATTAAATTTAGAAAACTTATTGTGTTCTTTGAGGTCTAAATTACATTGAACTTTCGATCAATGAATCAATTACTTTCTCAAATATGGCTTTTTGAACATTTTCGGGAAATTTCGATTTGTGGTCTGTTTGCTATCACAAAAGTGCAATGGGTTCCTTTCCAAACAGTGAAATTATACTGTCGCTTAGAAGTTGTTTAAATAAGTTTTTCAATCATAATAAATATACAGGAACTTATGCGGCTCTTGTTCCTTGCATGGGATGATTTGTTTAGTTAAGAGGCATTATGGGAGATGCGTGGAGCTGGGAGAAAGAAGAGTTGCCGAGAGCAAACATCTTGGAGTGTCGATTCCGAGGTGAGAATCGAGACGAAATATCGTCAAATGTCTGAACCAGAGAAGGATTGCTTTAGCTAAGAAAATTTGTCTGATTTTTCAGAGACTTCCTCATTGCCTCATGAATAGATTTTTTTTGGAGGAGGGGGAGAGAATGTCAATGTACGAGACGAGATCCGCTTCGCGTCCATCCAGGCAGAAAAGAGCGGCTGAATGAAATTATTTCATCTCCTTTCTCCATCAATCTGCCACAGGGAAGGGGGAAGTGTTGGAATAAATTATTATTTCAATTTTTAGGTTAGAATAGGCGTTGGAATTGAAACTCATCGAATTTGAAGAAATTCTTGTAAGCGTGGAACAACATGCAACATGGAAGCGTATTCCCTGCGAAGAAATGAGAATAATTTAATTTCCAGCTCTGGAAACCCATAATTTCGAGGTTTTTCTTTCTTTTTTGTCGTGAAGAAGGAAAGAATAGCAGTCGTTTGACGAGGAAGGCGATATAATTTATTGACCGTGTAGCCCGGTCCAGGAGCTGGAAGTTATTTCAGGGGTAGCTTTGGTTACCTGGCAACATTATTTGGCATTGCTCTTGAAGAGGAGGAGAGGTGGGTGAATCCACATTCACCATGATCCTACCAAACTCAGAATTGAATCGATAGGAAGTTCTGTCTGGAGATCCATGATCTGTGCGTTAGCAGACAAGGTAGGCTAACAGTCACAAATGCCTACGTGCCGGAACATAAATAGTGAATGTGGAAATCGATGGACTCGTCTGTTATTTCCATAGATATTCAACGGTGACATTTCCGGAACAATCGATGGCCACACTCCGAAGAGCCCGTGCGCACAAGTACGTTTAATTGCATAGCAGCTGCTTGCCTGAATCTAGCCATGCCAAGGTAGCATTCGCTCGTCTAGCAACGCCTTCTCTTGCGTTCTGTGCGGCACGTGCCTCCACCCTGGTTGTGGGAGGTGGCGCCGTCATTGAAATCTCGTGCAACGCCCAACCAGACGGAAGCCTAGATATTGTTCATGTAACAAACGTTGAAGTTCCATTAATCTGGCTCGTTGCCGGAATACACTTGAATCGGTATATAATGCTTCGGATGGAGAATCATGCCGCAGGTGGCGCCTAACAAGGTTCGCTCTTCAAGACGTGTCGTCCGTATAGTTTCCTTGAACGGGGGAACTTGCAGCTACTTTCTCCCTTGTTCCCATGCCTCACAGATCCTCGTTACATTTGATTCATTCGCAACCATACTTCTTCTTTAAGCATGGGAAAGAGTTCTGATCTCTCTCTTTGTGCAGGTGATTTAATTAGAAAAGGCTGAAGCTGGATTTACGTGAGAATGCAGAAGTCGTTTTTCCAAGAAGTTCTACAACGTAGGAATAAAATGCATAAATTGAGTTCTTTGGTTCTGACAGAGCGATGGGTTATTCGCTGAAGGTTTTCGCGTTCTCCTGCTTGCTCTGGGTTGGATCAGCAATCGAACCAGTGGTATATTGGGTTGTACACCCCGGAGAACGCCATGGAATTGTGTCAAAAAAAAGCACTGCCAGCTTTGAGGAATGCGAGACCGCAAGCGCCAAGGAGGATCCGCCTCTGCCGTGCCAAGCCTTCAACTACAGGGTATCGGATGGCACCTGCCAGTTGGTCTTCAAGGATGGAATCCAGCTCGTCCCTGCCGATGATTTCCAAGCGTTTGTGAAACGTTAGCTGGTCTGGAGTAGAATGGTTTCTTTGAGGTATTTCGTACGTGATTAACTTGGCTGCGAAAAATCCGGAATTTTATTAAGCACTTCGGGGTAATTCAGTTCAACAGGCTTTACGGTCTGAAATGTATCATTTCTGGAAGCGGAAATTGTCAAATAAAATGATGCTCTTCGGAATGCAAGATGAACTTGTTATTCGGCCTGGTGTGAGTCTCATCACACAAGCCCGTGGGAATTCTTTCTATTGGATATAAATGTTGGCGTGAAGTGAAAATCTAATGTTTATTATAACTTGACGTGTTTTACTCTGTTAATAGACACTGTTTATTCCTCCTATTTTATATTGGCATATAAATGGTTATAGAATTGCCCTTGCTTTCACTCACTTTTAGTCCATTGCTTCGAAGGCGACTCCAGAGGGAAAGAGAGAGCCATTCCCAATTGTTGCTGGGAGAAACCGAATTTCAAAGGGAAGGAACGAGATTTTCAACTGTTGAAGAAGTTCCACCGCCCGATAGAACGTGCCCAAGGCAACTTCATGAGGTGCACCATGTGTCAGGTGCACGAGGTTCTCAAAGGAGAAAGAACCTGTCCTTTGGCCAGTAAGAAGTGAGAAGGAATCTGTTCTAGGTTCTACAAAGTGATGATATTGATACATCTGAGACAGCCAGTATATCAGTGTTGGAATGAGATGGTCTGTTATTTTACAAGTCAAGTAATTGCAATCCTAGAGGAGTAAGAACTGTGAAATGAGTTATCTCATTTACATTGTCATCGCATACACCATTCCATTTTGACGAAGTGTGAAACATTCCTTCTGTCGTTTCCACGGACATGCATTGGGGTGGAAACTTTCACATCCCAAATTTTTTTCCAATGACAAATCACCTGCTATGCATAACATCGTTCTGAGAACAACAGACAAGTCCGAACATCAAAGTAAATTTCAAAAGTTGTTTTTTTTTTAAATAAAATTTGCTCATTTTAAAATTTTATTACAAAAGGAATATAAGAATATAAGCGTGCATAGTCAAGGCAAAATATATTTCTCCATATCCTTTAGAGAAGCGTAATTCTTGGTTCATGTTATTTGACTCACGTTTGCCTTGAAGCATTATTTAATCCGACAATGTAATATTAGAGCTGACAGGAGAAGACGCGAAACTCCAGAAAAAAGGCAACAAAGGAGAAGATGGAGGTAGAACTGGAGGTACTGCCGGAGGCACCACAGGAGAACTAACAGGAAGCAACACAGGAGACACCACTAGACGAGCAACAAGAAGCATTGCACAAGTCTCGGGAAGCATCATGGGAGAATCTGCAGGAGGCAAGAAAGAAGGAAAGGACCTTCAGGAAGCAGGAACGGATGGAGCATCCGGAAGAGCAGCAAATGGCTTCTTTTTCCTCTTTCTCGGTTTCGCAGCAGAAATGCTGCAACAATTTCTGATGTTCCACGTGTGAATAGGACGTATTCCTTGATGAATCTGTAAACCTGGTTTTTCCCTAAAGCATTTATTTTCCTGCCTGTACGATAGTCTCAGCCGTAAATTTTTGTTTAAAGTTTTTTTTTCTCTCTCTTGGATTTCCCAAATCCAAGCCTTCTTTCGAAGACTTTTCAAAACATGCTCCAATCCGCTCTGGGAAAACGTGACCTCACCATCCATTCTTTCCTCGAAAACCCCAGAAATGACTTCATCTCCTTTCTCCATCAATCTACCAACGGGAAGGGGGAAGTGTTGGAATAAATGTTTATTTCTATTTTTAAGTTAGAATAGGCGTTGGAATTGAAACCCATCAAATTTGAATTAATTATTGGGTCCATGACGACATCGAAGCATTTTCCCAAAGAATCCGAAGAAATGCCCAACATTAAGTTTCCAGCTCTGGAAACCCATAATTTTGAGGTTTTTCTTTCTTTTTTGTCGTGAAGAAGGAAAGATAAACAGCCGCTTCACGAGGAAGGCGACTGAATTTATTGACCATGTAGCCCGGTCCAGGGGCTGGAGGTTATTTCAGGGCTAGCTTTGGTTACCTGGCAACATTATTTGGCATTGCTCTTGAAGAGGAGGAGAGGTGGGTGAATCCACATTCACAGAAAGCCCAACCCAGAGCACCACTAAAATATCAACAATGGTAGACTCCGATATCGATGTCGGAATTCGGAGGTGGTAATTGATGGTGGTACTAGTGAATACGTTTATGGGAGAGTTTTCAGGCGATGCTTCGCCGGTAGAACTGGGAGGAGCTTCTGGAAGTGGAATACCTAGCTGCCTCCTTTTCCTGTTTCTCGTTTTTGGAACAAAAATGCTCAAAAATTTTCTTTTCTTGACGTGAATGGCATTTTTTGTGAGGAAACTCTAGAGGTTTCTCCTAAATATGTATTATCCTGGCTGCACCATGGTTCCTATATTTGAAATCT